TTTTTGTGGTATAAAAACAATTCTATTTATATTTGTCAAATGTTAATAAACAAGTAAAATAGAAATAAGTTTTTCGGATATAAAAATATAAATTCAAATTTTGTTTTTTCACATATAAATTCAAATTTAATCACTAAAAAATTGTTACCATTAAAAATTTGTTAGATATTCTCAACAATAAATCTAGATAAGAAATGGTAATTTAATTTGAATATTTTAGATTGAATAAATCTTAGTGCAAAAAAATATGTCAAGATTATGTTTCAAATTGAAAGATTTTTCTGTTTTAGAAACAAATATTAATAAGATTTACTTCGTTAGATTTTGGTAGTTTTTTTTATATATTCTCTAATTAATGATGAAAGAAAGAAACGAATATTATGTACACATTCGAATATATTTGTTAAAGAGAACAGAACCATAAATCAACAACCAAAGACAAAGGACAAAACTTCAACCTCTAAACATAGTATTATTTGTAGAAAGTGAAAAATTAAGCTACTTACATTTGATTCAAATAACATGTTATGTTATGATTTAGCTCATTCTTTATGATTTGAAGGTTAAATTTCTTATCATCGATTATGAATTATTATATTTAAGTTTCCCTTACTAAATCACGAGATTCTGTTTTTTATTGAATGCAAAGTTATTTCTTTTTGATTCAAAGATAATTGTCATTGTTTTAATTATGAATTATTGTTAATTAGTTGGAGAGAGGTTCTAAACTCATAAATTTGTGTAGTTTTTTTTTTTATAGTGATGCACATGATTCTTGAAGGATTAAGGATAAAATTCTCAGAGTCAAGAGTTTTGGAGAAATATAGAAATAATTTGTCAGTCAAATATAAACTACTATATTTTTCTTTACATTGTGTTATTTGTTTTTTCTCGATATTGTTTTAGAAATCTAGAGTCAAATAACTTTATCTTATGTAAGAATGATCAAGTGTTTTGTGAATGCATATTTTGAGAAAAATTAAGTATTGAAATAGTAATAATGTACACTATTGTATTTTTTCGACTTATTTTTGTTTGTTTATTTTCCATTTCTTTCAAATCTATTCTTATTATTTATTCTAATTTGGAAGAAGATTCAAAGAACATTTGGAAGTAAGACATGAAAAAAGTTAAGAAGCACAAAGAATAAAAAAAATTTTGTTTTATCTTTGTTTATTTTAAGGAACATGCTTACATATGAAATTGGTTTTTGTGATATACGTTTGTCACATAATCAAATGTTGGGTTAGAAGTTTTTTTTTTATTAGTGAAAATATATGTTTGTATGCAATTATAGTTAAATAAATGAATCCGAGAGAGAGGGAATCAAAAAGATACAAATAGATAAGATACATATACCTAGCCATTAACATTACAAATTAATAACAATAATTTCAAGTTTGCTTTCAAACAAAAAAAATTACAAATTTATAACAATAAATTTTYATTTTTATTTTTACAAAATACATTTAAATCCGCACATGGTGCGGAAAATCATCTAGTTTCAAATTAAGATGCGAGTTATTTTAGATTTACCGAGTATTTTTTAAAAGATAAATCGGATTTCAATAAAAAAAAACCACAAATAATTAAAAAATTAAAATAAAAGAAGGCCACAACTGAAGTTGAGAGGCATGAAAACAAGACCTTATCTGAAAAAGAAACACATAAGTTTTTACAAAACAAAAAAAAAAGGTGAAAAACAAATTTGCGCCACTCGTAGCGCACCCCTATCTCTTTGGCAAAAGCCACTTCTTCACTGAATCATTTACATAATTTTATTCCATTTTTATTATTTTTAAATTTCTTACTCCAAAG